TGCTGCTGCTGCTGCTGCTGCTGCTGCTGTGAGCCACCGCTCTCCCTCTGCTGCGCCTTCTCGCGTTGTCGGCGGGGCCTTCAGCAGCGACGGGACGTTCTGCGCAGAAGCAGCAGCAGCAGAAGCAGCAGCGGCAGAAGCAGCAGCAGAAGCAGCAGCAGATGCTGCTGCTGCTGCTGCTGCTGCAGCAGAAACGAGGGAGAGACGGGGAAGCTGCCGAGAAGTGCATGTGCAGACTGAAGCAGCAGCAGCACCCCTAGCGAGTCAGGAGCAGCAGAGGCAGCTGCAGCAGCTGCAGCAGCAGCTGCAGCAGCAGCTGCAGCAGCGGCAGCTGCTGCCTCTCGAGTGGAGCGGGGAGAGCCAAAGGGTGAAGGGGGAGCAGCTAATAGAGCTGCTGCAGCACCAGAACGAGCTGCTGCAGCAGCAGCTGCAGCGGGCGTCTGAGGAAACAGCAGCGGTGCAGCGGCTGCATGCACAGCAGCAGCAGGAGCAGCAGGCAGCAGCAGCAGCGGCACTGCAACGCGTCAAGGAGCAGTGCTGCAATGAGCTGCTGCAGCAGCAGCTGCAGCAAGCAGCAGCAATTCAAACCATGTGGCGGCAGCTGGACCTGCGCCTGCGGCAGCTAGAAGATGATGTTGCTATGGACATCGAGGTTCTCGCAGCAGCAAACAGCAGCAGCAGCAGCAGCAGCAGCAGCAGCGGCGCCGGAGTGGAGGCCCCGAAAGGGCCTCCAGCTACCCCCGACGCGGGGGAGCCGCCCGCAACACCAGCAGCAGCAGCAGCAGCAACAGCAGCAGCAGCAGCAGCAGCAGCAGCAGAGCCTGCTGCTGTTGCGAAAGTGAGGAAGCTGGAGGCGGTGATGGAGGAGCGGCTGCGGGCGAGAGATGCAGCAAATGAAGAAGTCCGTTTGCTGCTGCAGCAGACGCAGCAGCAATGTGCTGCTTTCCGGAGAGACAGCGAAGCCCGCTGGCAGCAGCAGCAGCGCTGCGAAGAGCTCAAGGAGCAGCTGCTGCAGCTGCTGCACACCGAGGAAGCAGCAGCAGCAGCCCCAGCAGCAGCAACTTCAGCAGCAGCAGCAGCAGAGCCGGGTAGTGCTTCCGGCGCGCTGGTCCGCGCCAACAGCAGCAGCAGCAGCAGCAGCAGCGATTGGGATATGTGTTTTTCTGCTGCTAGGGAGTCACTGCGTGAGCTGCTGCAGCAGCTGCTGCAGCAGCTGCAGCACAGCAGCCCGCAGCTGCTGCAGCATTCCCCGGTGCAGCAGCAGCTGCTGTCAGCTTTAATTCATTCTGTGGCTCTCAGCCGCATCCAGCGGGCCCGCGACAGCCAAACTAATTTGCTGCTGCAGCGGCAGGTGCAGCAGCAGCAGCAGCTGCAGCAAGCACAGCGGGGGGGCCCCCCCGGGGGGCCCC